ACCAAAACCAATGAACAGGAAACTTGTCAGGCCCCTGGTCTTATGGGAATTTATCCACTATGCTTCTCAGAAATCATTTAACTCTGAACATAAGTAACAAACATCACCAGTTGTGGCTTTCTGACTTTTTTGAGCAGAAAGAGAATGGTAAATTGTGTTGTTATGAAGCTAGTTGGCTTTGAAATTACTTTTTTGGGGAAAAAAAAAACTTGGCTTTTGAGGAGTTTTAATCTGATATTAGTGCACAGAGTGAAGAATTATCAAGTGTGTTTATGATTTAGAAGTTAAAACATTTATACTTATGGTTGTAGGGATTAGGGGAGTTACTTGCCTTGGAAACTCGATTAAATGCACAGAAAGAAAGAGCCCCATGTGGAAGAAGAATTAAAAAGACAGGAACAGCTTTTACTAGAAAACCCCTGTGTTCTTTTGTTGACATACCAGTGAGGTGAGAAACTACCATGTTTAAACCAGAATAAGACAGAAAAACAATAATGACAGAAAAATACATATATTCATCTTTGATTTGAATTTTTTTACCTCTTCGAAAAAATGACAACTTTTATGTGCATATCACTTGAGCTAAAAGGTAAAGACTTCAGGTTTATGCTGAAGTTAACTATCTATCTAACAAAAATTAAGAATGTGAGAACTATTTAGAAGTACTTTATATTGTTAAAGGTTTAACTCATTATGAAAATCATTTCTACATAATATACATGGCAAGAAATAGTGTCTTAATATTAACTCCATAATTTTCCCCATACTTCAGAATGTGTATACAGCCACCTTATATTTCATTATTAAAGTCCATTTATTGGTCACCAACAGCACTGTTACTGTTATCTAATCTAGACAAAAGGCTCACTCTGAAGAAAAAAAAATATTCTGAATAGAGAAAAGACACAGATCTAACATTTAAGTGATTTTCAAACATCCTGAACTATCCAAGTATACTTCACATTTTCAGGTTTTTAAATCAGATGTATGAGATAGAAGTAACATGGGGTCTTAAATAGCATATTTCCTTTCTTAGGTTATTATAGGTCAAAATTGGGGACACTATTTTGAAAAATAGGATATTGTTTTTTACACTTTGGGGAAGTTAGTTCCTCTGTCAACAGCAATGGGATAGTATGAAAGGGAGGCCTTTTGGTTCACGTCAACTCAGCTGATTGAGGTGAGGAGGTGAGGTGGGGTCTGGAATAAGTGTCACTAATCCATCCTGTTTCACTTAGGTTACTATACACATATATAGAATATAGCATGTGCTCAGAACATATTCAGTGTACTAAAGTGAAGCTGGCACATAGTAGGCACTCCAATGTTTATAGAAATGCAAAATCAACATATAAATTTGTCAATGAATGTTGAGATACATTAATTTATGAACTCTCAGTTCCTCTTGGATTTCTTCAGATCATTTGCAAGAGTATCATCAAATGATTCATTCTCACTTGATTTCCTTTCCCATTAATTATTCTTATCAACAGTTCTAGCACTCACATAATTCCTCTGTGACACAAATCTGTCTCCTTTGGTCATACAATTTTCAAACGAGAAGTTATAAATGCATTTTGCACCTTTAGTATTTATCAATTCATTTATCTATTAATTTCTCCTGGCTTCAGTGTGCACATACATACCAGCACATTATTAACCCTCTTCTCTCTTTGAAAGGTGACTACAATATGACTTGGATTTGAAGCAGGCAATGCAATTGCATGCAGTTTCATGCATGCAATTGAAATTTTCTTCCTCTTTTCTCTAGCTACACTAACTTCAAAGTCTATGAGAAAACATGAGAAAGATACATAGAGAAGAATGAAGCAAAGAGAAAGATATACAAAAGACAGAAACATAGTAGCAGTATTTGTACACCTTACAAAATAGAACGATCAAGACATTAAGTGCATTAGAGGAACAGAAGATAAGAAGCAGTTGAATATATATATATATATATATATATATATATATATATATATTTAGTGTTTGAACTGAGTTTTTAATGTAATTTTTTATTTATATATGACAGCAGAATGCATTACAATTCTTATTACATATACATAGTATATTCACTTCAGATTCTCTTGAGTGATCAGAGAATTATTCATGACCTCTCTTATGCACGGATATTCACAGGGAATTGGGTTGCCAGAACCAGAGAAGTAGAAAATATTTTCCTCTAGCCATATACATGGGTTCTTAATCTGATTAGAAGATTATTGAATGATGGCCTTCCTCAAAGATATATCTATAGGGCTGGGGATGTGGCTCAAGCAGTAGTGCGCTCGCCTGGCATGTGTGCAGCCCGGGTTCGATCCTCAACACCACATACAAAGATGTTGTGTCTGCCGAAAACTAAAAAATAAATATTAAAAATCTCTCTCTCTCTCTCTCTCTCTCTCTCTCTCTCTCTCTCTCTCTCTCTCTTTCTTTCTTTCTTTAAAAAAAAAAAAGATATATCTATAACCTAATCCCAGAAACTTTGAACATGATTATATTTGGAAAATAAGTAAGTGGGGTGCTTTGTAGATTTTAATGGTTAAAGATATTAAAATGAAATCATCCTGCATTATCTAAGTAGTCCCTATGTCCAATGATAAGTGTCCTTATTTAAAAAAAAACTGTTGTGGAAAAGATATGATGCAGGGAGAAGGTGGCCATATGGAGATGGGAATAGAGATGGAGTTAGTGCACAGGACAAGGAGTGCATAGAGGCAAGAAAGGATTCCACCATAGAGGAGACATGACCTGCCAACACCTAGATTTTGGACTTCTAGCCTTTACAACTGTGATATAATGTATTTATAATATTTTAAGCAATCGATTTTCTTGTTGTTTTTAAAGGCAACACTAATAAGTGAGTATAATGTGTACCCTGCTTTTGTAGAATTAAGGTATAAAGCAATAAATAAATAAATAAATAACTGACCATAAAAAAGAGAATAACTGATAATAATACTTAATTTTATTTCTTGCCTACAATCCTTCAAATGCATTCCAAATGTTTAGAAGTTTTATTCCTTCACACACACACACACACACACACACACATACACACACACACAGTAAGGTTCCACAGCAGTTGAAGAGAGCAAAGGTTAAGAAGGAATCAATAATTGAAAATGTGGAAATTGCTACATCATCTTTGAACCCATTGATGCAGCAATTCAAAATAACATTATTGTGAACATTTCTTATCTCAGTACAGCTGAAAGATCACTTACGACGTAAGTACAGGTTCCCTATACACTGAAGTAAGTCAGTTTTACATTTCTTCTCAGAAAAAAAAAAAAACAAGAGCATTATTAGTGTTATAAAAAGCAAGATGAAAAATAATACTGGAAATTCTCTTTGGTTCATCAGCTACTTAGAAAAAAGTTGAAATTGTTGCTGCTAAGTTTGCTATCAGCCTGACAAAATACACATTCCAATTATATTTTTAATTGAGTAGAATTGGAATTCTTATTTTTCCCTTTAATGCTATGTGCAGGTTCATCCAGAATCAGTTTGGCTACAGCTGGAAGCAATTAAGAATATGCAGGAAGAATTAAAACCCTAGGAAATTGTTTTTATCTCTAATAGATTGCAGCAGAGTTAAATCGTGAATTGGTCACAGGAGAAAACTTGTCATGGTGACTCATGTAAATTACTGAAATTGCTTTAGTTTGGGAAATAGACTTCATTAGTCCCAAATTTTACCTTATGATTTTCCTAACTAGCCACATACCATTGCTTATACTAAACTGAAGTTCTTGTTACCATTTATTTCAGTAAAAACACAATGATATTAGCAAATCACTTTTGTTGTAATCTCAAATCTAATAACAGATGGAAGGAAAGCAAATGGTCTCACTTAGAGCTCCTTATCATAAAATCAAAGTTAAAGGCACATTCATAGATAACAGGAACTGAGTTAAGATATTCAGCCTGACTCTCCTATCTCCTGTGACCAGATGCCTCTCTTTCAGTTCTTCAGGGGAAAGAAAAACCTGAATTTGCTACTGATATCCAGAATTGCATATTTGCTTATAAGCTTCTAGAAATTTTTTTTCTCTTTTTAATAGCAGGTAACATATGCTTAGAGCTTTGCAGGAAGGGCTTTGATGCATTATCTAGTACAATTTCTTCATTTAATTAATAGAGAAACCAAAGAGCTTGAGGGTTGATTTAATGTTTAAAACCTCAAGTTGCAAAGAAGGATAAACCTTATCTAAATTTTCATTAAACTCTAACTTCATCATGATATTTTCAACATGGAATTCTCTTTCATATACATATGAAGAAAATAATTAAAGAGCAAATAGAAAATAGGCAAAAGAATACAAAATTTTAGAAAAATATGCTGATAATTCACTAAAACAATTTTTTTTTTTGCCTAGTATTTTACTGGCATCATATTTTATTCTGTGGTTATCTCAGCAAATGATATACTGTCTCTGTCTTTAGGAAACTGAAAACATCATAGTGGATAATAGTGAACAAGCTATTTTGTAAACAGACTATAACAGAAGAATGAGAGACCAGTCAGATGAGGTAGGCTGTATCACAGCTAGATGAACAGCTAAAGCAATACAGGAGGTGTACCTAGAAAAGAAAGAAATACATTTTAAAAAATCCATTTAAATGCAAAACAGTATAAAGTTTACAGAAAACCTAAGAAAATTTTTGTTCATGAGTTAAATCAAGGAAGCATAATAGTAAATGAGGCTGTGGAGATTATAGCTAATAACAATCATACTTGCATAAAATATTAGGAAGTGTGGACTTTAAGTCCTGGGGCTCATGAAACTAATTATGGTAAGACAGAAAAATTGTCAAGTTTTAATTTTAGATAGTTTATTATAAAAGTAACAATCAAAATATATTTGAAAAGAGACATTGTCAGACAGGATAGATAGACTTAAAACAAATAAATCAAAGATTAAATTATAAATACTTCAGTGGACATGATGAGAGAAAGGAAGGGAAAATCTTAAATATTTTCCTTTTTCCAGAAAATGTGAATTAAGGAGTCGTGGGCATCTACTGAACTGAAACACCTGTGAAAAAGAAGGTACCTGGTGTCAGAAGGTGAGCTCAAAATTAGGCTGACTTTGAGATACTTGGGAAATTCAAATTGATATGGTTAACAAAATTGGAATATCTAGCACATGAGCAGGTACATGTGTCTGAAGTTTAGGAAATCAGTCAGGGGTGGAGATTCAGATTTGGGGATCACTGTTATACAAATGGTACCGAAAATAATCATTGAAATTTGGTTGCTTAAGATGTAGAATGTTATTTGGATGCACTGAAGTAAGAATTTCCATTAATTTCAAAGACTGCCAGGAAGACAAAAGAACTAGATTACAGGAACATCATACAGAGTAATGTGACTGAGAAATTGTTAGAAAAATGGGAGGGACTTACAGGGAAAACAGAGTTACAAAATCAATGGGACAAAAAATTTAAAAATAATATGTGTTCATCAAGATAAATGTCACTGTAAAGAATCCATTGGTTTTGAAAAAAAAAGTTATTGGTGATTTTCAGGAGCATTTTCAATAGAGTAAAGTAAACATAAAACATATTATTGGAAAACAAATGGTCGTTTTCAGTTACAAATGTTGAATAGTCACCATGTTTTTATGGGCCTTCTGGAAATATAACTAAAATAACACTTTAATTTTAAAATATATATGATGGAAATGACAAAGGAAACTGATTATAGCATGGTTACAATTTAATTTTGAAATTGACTACATTATGATATATGGTTGCTGACTACATGTATATATAAAAGAAATATCTGAAATATGACTGTGAGGGATGCCTGTCAAATGAACCATCATTTGGAAGCCAGTTCCTTTTTAATTTCTCCTCCCCTGCTCCCAGTCTCTGCTGTGTAGTCAACCCTTGATTGCAGTTTGGGATTGATTCCAGTACACCCACACATACCAAAATCCATGGATGTTCAAATCCCTTGTGTAACATGGCATATGCTTATAACCATCTTTAGATTACATATAATATCTACTATAATGTAAATGCTATGTAAATAGTGGTTATAATGTATTTATTAGGAATAATGACAGGGAAAGTCTGTATATTGTCTATACAGATATAATGATTTTTTTTTTTTTACTTTATAAAAAACTTCAATAGATGCTAAAAGTATTGTAGCACAGTGTGGTAAGGAAAAAGATATTTGTTAGTCTAAAAAAATCTTTCCACAGCCAGATGCTGTGGCACGCACCTTTAATCCCAGCACTCAGGAGGCTGAGACATGAGAATCAAGAGTTCAAAGCCAGCCTCAGTAACAGCAAGGCACTAAGCAACTCAGTAAGACCCGGTCTCTAAATAAAATACAAAATAGGGCTGAGGATGTGGCTCAGTTGTGGAGTGCCTCTGAGTTCAATCCCTGGTATCTCCCCCCCCCAAAAAAAAATCTCTCTACAAATTGCTTAATTCCAAAGTGAAAAATATTAAAATTTAAACCAAAAAACCTATTGGATGTGATCCATGTTAACATCCTCAACATCGAGACAAACCAACTTGCACCTGCTGATATGACTTCTTGAAGCAGACACGGTGTTACTTTAGTGGCATTCTTGCCCCAAATGTACAGCTTAATTTTAATATGGAAAAAAAGAGAGACAAACTCAAATTAAGATAATTTGGACAAAATAGCCTGCTCTTCAAAAATGTACCATATTCAATGAAAATTATTATAAAGACTGAGGTGCTGACCCAGATTAAAAGACAAAAATGAAACAGGCTGTCTAGCTGTATGATCCTGGACTGCAAAACAAAATGATATTTAGACAATTGGGGAAAGCTGCAAATAGACTGTAGATTAGATTACAATGTTTTATCCATATGAAATTCACTGATTTTGATTACTAGACAATGGTTAAGTTAAATAACAACCTTGTCTTAGGAAATAAAATATGAAGTATTCAGAGATAAAGAAGGAAAATAGAGGTTAGCATAAATAAATGATTTAAAATTAGCTTTTTTCTCCAACATATTCTGTGTATGTTAATATTTATATATGTATATATATTCATGTGAAGTGCTCAATAATCACAAAATGAAATGAAGAGAAAAATATCACATTTTCATTGTTATATTTAAGATTAACATTTTTCAAAAAATTCCAAATTTGTGTATGGGTCATTTACATTAATCACTGAGTCTCATTACCAATTGTGCAAAGTGTGTAGCAGATAAACACATTGTGAAAACATTCATGATGATGAGTGAACCAAAGAAAAGGATCTCTATTGCCTGGTGGTTTAGACATTGAGATCTTAAATCAAGTAGTCTCATTTTTAATCTCAGAAATAACAACTAACTCCTAGATAATATATTAGCCTCTGTAAGTCAACTTTAAAAAAAATGTATACAGTGGGAATAATCGCAGTATCCAACACACTTAATTGTCTAAATTAGGCAAGGTCAGAAATAGGTCAGCACAAAGTGTGGAATATGATGAGCAAATAATCACCACCGGCATCATTATCAATAGTGGCAGTAAACATGGCAGATGTTCATAGAGACAGTAGTGCTCTGGGCCAGAAAGATTGGTAGTGGGGGCTAATACTTTTAGAAGTGTGCCAACTAAAGCCCATCAACTTTAAAATCTGATTTGTCTAACCTCACAAAATCACAGAAGTCTATGGTGATATGATCAACCAATTTATATCTTTACCAAGGAAAAAAATGTAAGAAAGAAAAGCCTCTTGGGACCAACAAAAAAAAAATGGGAGAAAAAGAGCAATAAATGTGTAATTTTAAGGTCATCATTAGTAACTAGAGGACTTTCCTCTAAGGGATATCACTGGGAAGCTTAGAGCAGTAACTGGTCATTTGAGATTCACCCAGTGTAAGATGCTCCAGGAGAACATTAGGGGTTTCTGGACTTGGGTGAAGAACTCAAGCTGAGGCAGTCTATATTAAAATTCTCCCACAGCACTGGTCTGAGTAAGATTTAAATAAAGCTCTGAGAAAAGGTCTGAGCAACATTGTTGCAGGACAGTGAGCACCAAGGTGTAAACCAACTATAAATGAAGAACAAAGGCAGTCACCAAACATACTCTGATACTTTGCAAATCCTCCCAATAATTATAAATCTTTACTTCTGTTCTTTCCTACTTTATAAATTCAAGCACATTGTCATATACCATTGAACACATGTGAGACTATATTGTAAAAAAAAAAAAAAAAAAAAGATTAGTCTTCACATCAGAGTTATGAGTGACCCTGAGGAATTGTCTAATTATTTTTTCTTCTGTAGATATTACCAATGCCTTTTATTCACATTTGCATGTACATATGCTCACAACATATTCATTTGTGCTCTCCGCATTTTTAAACAATTGCTTCATGACAGACCTCCTAAATAATTAAACAGTCTCACTCCAGAGGGTGTGAAAACAACCTACTCATACACTCTTCCACTCATAGACTCCTGAGAGAAAAATAGATCAACTCAGAGATGTGATTCAGGAATCTAATTGTTAGTCCATTTCTGCTGCCATAAATTGAGATTTGCCTGGGCATCTTGCCATATTTTTATTCAATCTTCTTTCCTGGTGTTTAGTTCTGATTTTCTATTTCTATTATTCAGTGATGTTGATTTTGTTATAGCTTGGCAAAAAAACTTGCATATGTTTTATTGTTTCAAAACATGAATATGTTATTTTTCTCCAGAGAAGGACAATAAGAAGCTATAAATTTAAATAGATTTTCTTCTAATAACACAGGATCAAGAATACTGATCATGTTGAACAAAGGATTAGAGATTTTAAAAATCTAAGCTTTAGATACTATCATAAATAAATCATATTTTATTATTCATTTAATAAATAGTTATTAAAATTTAATAAATTGCTAGGCCTTTGGGATTATGCCCTGAGCAAGATATTGTCTAACATTGTATGCCAGGATCTAGGGGCTTCCCATTAATATGTTCAGCAAGTAATTTTTGGTCACCTACAAAATGACAAAACAGAGTTTTAGTATAGAAAGATAAATAAGACTATGTTGAAGACTATATTTAGCCTTTAAATATTTAAAGGCTCTCAAATATTTAGTTGGTAAATGTTATACTCATGCCAAATACAAAATAATGGAAAGCACATGGATAGAGGCTAAATAACTCAAATAAGAAGTCAAGACATTATTTTGGAAATGGCAATGCCTGGGATGTGGTCAAAAGCTAAATGAGAAATACAAAATTAAAAGAGTGAATGAAAGACCCTTCCAAGTAGGAGTGCCACATGGGAAGGTGCAGAGCCAAGGCTGAGCATGACTCTGCTATTCCACAAATACATTAGTAAGTATGGGACGTGCATGTAAAGATGAGGTTGGAGAGGGATTGTGCAAACCAAAGAAAGCTAACCTATTCTCAATGTCTCCCCCACTGCCTGCGGGGAGGGTGCATAACCTGGTAAAGCCGAGATACCTCCTTTGCACAGCACCCTATGGAGACCTCAGCTTCTCAGATTGACCAAACTCATATGTGGACACCAAGTTAATTGCTTAACATATAATGAAAAGTAATTCTCATGATGGTCTCTGTGATTATTTAAGTATGAATAGTAAATTCTTTTTTCTCATAGATACACATTCTTCATTTTCTTGCCCTTTACTTCAATATAATTTGCAAATATTATGTTTTTTATAAATTGAAAATTTGTGACAACCCTGTGTTCACTAAGTATTTTAATGAGCTTTTTTTCCACTGAGCCCAAAAGACCTGACAAGAATAATTTTAGAGAAGTAAAAGTTTGTTTGTCACTTATGGTTTCAGAGGTCTCAGTTCATAGATAAGCCAAAATCCTTATACACTGAACAGGTAACCAAATTGTGATTCAAAGGTAAATATTTGAAGGAAATTAAAAGTGATACTCTAATGAACATAGGATTGGTAAAAAAGTGAAATAGCCTTATTGTCTGTAAGGAGAAAGTTTACTATAGTGATCTTAACAGAAGATCAAACAAGCCACAACATGCCCTTAACCAAAATCTATTTCAAAGCAAAACCAATTCTATGAAGGCTAAGAGAGGTGAGGATATTGCAGAATAAGTCTTTCGAGGTAGCAAAGGTTGTTTCATGAGGTATAGGAAGAGAAGCCACCTGCATGACATAAAAGCACAAAATGAAATAGAAAATACTGGTGGAGAAGCTGCAGAAGTAATCTAGAAGATCTAGTTAAGGAAGTGATGAAAATGGCTATGTTAAACAATGGACTTTCATTTTAGGCAAAATGACCTTTTGTTAGATTACTCCATACTGGATTTTCACACCTAAATAAAAGATGTCAGTACCTGGCTTTAAAGCTTCAAAGGATTGGTTGACAGTCTCGTTAGGCAATAATACAGCTGACAACTTTAAGCTGAAACCAATGCACATTTACTTTTCCAATAATCCTAAGGCCTTTAAGAATAGTACTAAAATTTTTATGTCTGTCATTCATAACATGGAACAATAAAGCCTGGATGATAGCATAGCTCTTTACAACATGGTTTACTGAATATTTAAAAGTCCACTACTGACAACTATTTCTCAGAGAAAAAAAAAGTGTTATTGCTCATTGTGCATCTGGTCACACAAGAGCAGTGATGGACATGTATGATGAGATTAATGTTCTCAGGACTGCTAACACAACATTCATTCTGCAGCAGCCATTTGATTTTCAAGACTTATAATTTAAGAAATGTACTTCCTAACACCATAGTTGCCATAGATAATGATTCATCTAATATATTTCAACAAAGAAAATTGAATACCTTCTGGAAAGAATTCACCATCCTAGATGCCATTAAGAATATTAGTGAGCTGGGTATGGTGGTGCAACCTGTAATCCCAGCAGCTCAGGAGGTTGAGACAGGAGGATTGTAAATTCAAAGCCAGCCTCAGCAACCTAGCAAGGTCCTAATCCAACTTAATGATACCCTGAGTCAAATTAAAAAATAGAAAGGGCTGGGATGTCCTTCAGTGGTTGAAGGCCCTTGGGTTCAACCACTGGTACACAAAATGAATGAATGAATGAATGAATGAATGAAGCATTAGTGATTAATAGACAAGGTCTAAATATCAATCTTAATAGCAGTTTGAAAAATGTTTATTCCAACTTTCCTGAGTAACTTTGAGGAGTTCAAGACTTCGGTAGAAGAAATAGCAAGAAAACTGGAATTAGAAATGGAACCCAAAGATTTGAATATATATATATTTTTTATCTCACAATATAACTTTAACAGATGAGGAGTTGTTTGTTATAGATGAGCAAAAACATTGGTTTGTTGAAATGTGAAATATTCCTGGTGAAGATGTTTGAAACATTATTGAATGACAAGAAAGGATTTTTGAATATTACATAAACTTAGTTGATGTAAATTTCAAAGAAGTTGTACTATAGGTAAAATTCTATTAAACAGCATCAAATATTATATGGACGTATTTTTGGAATGGAAGAGTCAATTGATACAACAGATGTCATTATTGTCTTAATTTGAGAAATTGCCACAGCTACCGTAGTCTTCAGTAATCACCATCCCAATGAGTCAACAGCCATCAACAACAAGGAAAGACCCTCCAACACCAAAAAGATAATGACCCACTCAAGCCTTAAATGTTTACCAGCATTTTTATCAATAAAGTACTTTAATATAAAGTGTATGTATACATTGTGATATGTACTATATTTTACATTAAAGGACAAACATGGGTATTTCATACTTGGTAAACTATACTGTAGTGTAAACCTAAGTTTTATAGGAACTGGGGAATCAAACAATTCATATGACCATTTTTATGGTGATGCTTGCCGCACTGAAGTGGTCTGGAACTGAACCCTCAACATCTTCAAGGTGTATCTGTACTTGTAAAGGAAGCCAATCCACATTATAATCTTTTTCTGGGGATAGCAGAATCAGAAATCAAGGAATTTTGAATTGATTCTTACATTAAAGGAACTGACATAACATGTCTTGATCCATTTAAAAATTTGGGAGCTATTTTTTTTTCCTTTTTGACAACTATGAAAACTATATTTCATAGACTAAGGATTGTGTTTCCCTGTGAGAGTTTTTGGAGAGGTTTCAGTTACCCTGGCACTTTTACTTGCCAGTTTTTGAATGCCAGGCTGTGTGCTAAATATTTGGAACATTATTTTCCCTGTAAGATAATACAGCCAATGTATAGCTGGGCTAAGATTTAAATCCAGATCAGTTTTGAAAACTGGTGTAGCATCTATGCTTCAGTCATCAATAAAATTTCCTTCTAATTGATATATTTCATTTAGATAAGTGAGACACCTGGTAGAAGTTGACTGAGTTGACTTTAAACCAAATTCTTTATTTATTAACTATGAAACTTGTATAAACACTAACTTCTTGATCTCCAAATTCTAGCCAGTAATTGAGAGTGTGTGCACATGCACATACACATAGACACACATGTGTGTATGCAGAGTATGTAGAAGGCTACATTTTTAAAAATAAATCAGTTAGAAATAGTTCACTTGCAGGCCTTGAAAACATTCTGTTTTTTTTTTTTTTTTCAAGTTTTTTTGCAGGTATCTGCTTCAATTCACCCAGTCCTTCTCTCTTAGCTTATCTCTCAAAGTCAATTCTATTTCCTCTTTTCTAAGTCTTTTGGGAAACTCTTATTGAAAATCTTCACTTGCCAACATTCCCACAATAGTTAGAGTAAAAGCCCTAAGGTCCCCTGCATTCACCTGTTCAATGGGATGAAAAAAAAATCCCCAAGAAAATATGAGTTATATTTTCTAATTATCTCTTAGGCTAAACATAAAGAGGACTTCTAATTTTTAGAACATTTTGTTTTAAAGGGACTGAAAATTCCTCATAAATATGATCATATCAATTCTCATAACTCCAACTATACACATAAGTTCAGCCATATTTTCATGGAAAAACAGCATTATTTGTAGATGACTCTAATGATAACTTTAAGGCAGTAGGGACTGAAAACAGTTCTCAACGGTGGAACTCAGTTGGGCAGACAAAACACTAATAGAAAATCCAGAAGCTTCTCACCACCCTATAAGTTTGTGTAACATTTTGAAAGCCAGTTCTTCTCAGTTATTTAGATAAAACTAGGCAATAGACAAAATGATTGTCAATACTATCAAATATGTTTTGCAGCAATAGAAACCATGACATCTTACCCAAACTTAAATATAAGCATTTTATGTCATCTCTAGGAGAATTAAGCATCTTATTGAAAAGGAAGGAATTTTTATTTTCAATTTTACTGCTGCAGCATCAAATTCATGGCCGTTAACTTCAGGATAGAGCAGTAAAAATGATTTGCATCCTTTGTATCCATTTATAAGGCTTGAGATACATTTTAGAAAAACTATGTTCATACTTTGTCTATCAATTTTGGTATTTTATGTTGGCATAATTTGCCTAAGTTTTGTATTTATTCACTGTTTTTAGTTACATGAAAAATGAGTTCAGAGATTTGGGGATGATTTCCTAAGAAAGACATTAAACTGTTTGATGTCCATAAATAAATCTGCCAGGGAAGATCTCTCAATACAACTTGCCTTTTGTCTCATACATAGCAGAAGACATTTGAACTTCAGTTTATATGCTTCTCCTTCACAAGTGCACAGGAATCATTTCTTTTAAAATTCTTGCCTCTGAAAAAAGAAATTGTTTCCTTATATTCATTTTATGACAGAGCAAAGCACTTTAAGAATAATAATATTTATGGAGATTTGCCTGAAGCATGTGTAGTGCTAAATATATAAACTAGAAGAAAACAAAGAGGTTATGTTTATATTAAGGATAACCTGGATGTCATCATTAATGTTATAAAGTTCAATTTTGTCTTCAGTATAAATGTGTTCCTATCCGTGTGTTTCATTCTTTCCCTCATTTCTTCAATGTCTACATTCCACTTAAGAAAAGTGAGTTTTGTTTCTATTTTGCATTTGATACACTTTATTTTATTTGAAATAGTTAAATAAGCAATTCTTGTTAAAACATGAATATACTTTCTCTAGGTTTTCCTCAAATTCAATAAGCTGCCATATTACTTCTTGTCTAACATATCAACCTACTTTAAAACCACAAAAGGCTTAAACTATCCTCTAGCAGCAGAATACAACAGACACTAGTATGGCAATATGTAAATCAATGGATGTGTAACTGATGTGATTCTGCAATCTGTATACGGGGTAAAAATGGGAGTGCATAACCCACTTGAATCAAAGTGTGAAATATGATATATCAAGAACTATGTAATGTTTTGAACAACCAACAATAAAAATTTTAAAAAAAGGCTTAAACTAGTAAGATCTTAATGATTGTCTTCTCCACTGACCAGATCTCTTTGTTTTATAGATGATGGGGACCCAAGGACCTGGAACTGGTGTTGCCCAAAGTTACACACATAGTCATTAAGTTGAATTACTGTTATTAACTAGAGTTTAGAAACAAGGACTTCTGCCTCCAATTAATTTATTGTACTGTTTGCATTCTGTTTCTCTCATTCAAAAAGTTCCGCAGTGCAAGAGCATGTTAAGGATTATGTGCTTTTTAATTAGTTGCATTTTTTCTGCCTATTTGGACATTAAGTTCTTGAGCAAAATGCTCATTTGGGCAGTAAGTCCATTAAAAGTCAAGCTGTTCTTTGGATTCTGAGTGGATCAAAATTCTTTTACCCTAGAAAATGGCACCACATACACTTTATAGCAGTAAGTATTTCATTGCATAAATAAAACATATTGAGAGCCCATCATGATAAAAAGTTCTGAGTTCCAGACAGGTATGGACTGGTGAGTTGCTTGAAGGCAGGGCCCTATCTTATCTCAGTACATGCAGGAATAGCTTAATTACGCTAAAAAAAAAAAAAAAAAGAGTACTATAGCCAAAGTTGCACTATGCACTGCCACAGCTATGAAGCACAGTGGAATAATTGCTATAAAAGAGAACATGAAGGCCAATTCTTCATTCTGCAGCTGAGGAGATGAGCCCCTCAAATCAAGATTTAGTTCAGATCACTGCAAACATGAGACTTGGAATGAAAATCTACTCTGGCTCCCAAATGACCTAAGTATTTGCCTAAAACTCCACCTGCCTTTGGTTTCTTTCAGTCATTATTGGCTGACGGTAGTGCTATTAGGTAATCTCCCTCTCACATTCATGTTCTTTCACAGTTTTTCTTTTGCCTCATTAGCAATTGTTGCATTTCCAGGTTTTTTGGCTCCTGCTGTGGTTTTATTTGAACTTCAGCTTCAGTGAATCATTAAAGCAGTTCTTTGATCTGCCCTTCTTGCCTTACCTGAATTTGGCACAAAGAGAAGTTTTATGTCTTTTACTATGGATTATTTTGAACTTTTCCCAGGCTTCCAATCTACTTATTACAAGTAAAACCAACACAGTGAAAATTCCTATCTATGATAAAAGGAATACTTGTAACTCTGGTTCAGTGTTAAACCAATGTCTACTCTCCATATATATGCACCACCTGAAACCACTCCAATATCTTATAAAAGTGAAATCTCATATATTTAGAGGAAGAAGCATTTCTGTATTTTCTCTAAGATCAGGCATAAGTGACAAGGTTGTCACACTTTTCTCAAAGGAATTCCTCCATTTCTTAGTTATCATAATTAATATTGGCTACATTACACAAAAATATGTTCCCCCATTATGAATTATTCTAGAATGTAAAAGGTAGTTTTGTGTACCATTGAAAAACAAATATGGTAAAAACAATTCTTTCTTTTTCCCCCCAAAGAACAATATAAAATAGTCCTTCTCAACCATATTAGTTCTGTGTCCAGTTTCCAATTGGATTTGTCACTTTATTGAATGATTACTTGAATTCTCAGTTCGTGCAAAGTGAAAAAAAAAAAAGAGGGAGAGAGGCAAAAAATCGGGGGATCAATAAGGTTTATAAAACTGTAAAGTGCTAGCAAACACCAACACTTTAGTACTTAACACAACAGAAAATTATTTAATGCTGAAACTCTGGTTGCCACTGGGGAGAAAGTACATCTAAGCAGAGGGTCAACAATCTTTGATCTCCTGCTACCACCATTTTAATCCACAATTTCATTATTTGCATGGCAGATAAAGGGACAAATGGGATTAAATGTTTTTGGAACATTCCACTTCCCTTCATAACCCACTGGTACAATTTATTATATGTTTAGCAACAGGGGAACTAGGAAAATACAGGTCTTTCATACCTGACAGGTAAGGAGAACTGAATATAGAATATAATGATTAATCCTGATTACATAAGAAAATGGTGATTGAAAATATTGGAGCAAAATCACAAATCCATAAATGAAAGCACATAATATATTCTTAAATTTTGTTCTAAAACATATACTGCCAATAATATCTGATATGACAATTCCTTACATGTCTTTGAATCATATTTACTACTTCTCTTTTGAGGAGGACATTATCATTATGGCTTCCTAAGAGAATGGCGAGTGTGGGATAATATAATGACCCATTAATAAGTATACAAATATGGGTGTTGAAAAGTGTAAATAATTAAAAGTTATATTCCTGATTCCAATAGTAGATAATATAACCTCTTTTAAAATTGGTTTTAAATGTATTTGATATGCTATTCATTTTATATTCTAAGTTTTAATTTATAATAAAGTTGGTTAATCTCTAAAATGACAACTGACAGCATCCTTTTACTATGTCTGATAAAATGCTTTACCATATCAGAATTCAATGTTGGTTTCAGTATTTAATATTATTTCTCAAACCAAAAGCAAAGCTGGTAAATTTTGCTACCACAGGGAATCATTCTGTGTAAAATTGGTGAGAGATAATAATGTATGTTTTTAATATAGTCTATACTTGAGACTTATCTTATAGTGTTGTGTGTATGTGTTGGGATGATTGCATTAGCTTTATGTTTGAAAAATAGAGACTATAAGTCAAAAGTGTCCCTGATTTCCTCCCTAGAGTTCCTATTTAGATCTGTTTAGATGAGAAATTGAAACCAATAATACTGGAGATTTAATGAACACAGAAACTTTGAAACAATTTTACAAAAGATTGGGTCTCATTGCTGCTCATTTTAAAATACTCATTTCAACTATAACCCCCAAAATGTCTATTTTTCAAGTTGCTGTACCAATGTACTACTGTTATCAATTTTGGAATTCTGCCAAACTAATACAATAGACCAACACAGATGCTATTTTTAATAAAATAAAATAGATTAAATGTTTAATTCAAATCATGCTTGTAAGAGTTTAGTCATTTTATCAGATTTTCCTCCACTAGTAAATGGAAAAATGCTTCCTCGATTTATTTTAATTGATTAGGATATTTTGGCAGTAAAAGGTATGGTCTATATTTGTTATGCATATTTTTTATTCAAAAGCTTTTTTACAGAAAAATCTTTTAAAATATCTCAACCATTCATATTTTCCTGTTTATGTGAGATAAGTTTTTTGTATGACTAACATAACCTGTATGGTAATAAACATATAGGTGGATTTTGCCATGAGTCTATTTCCAGTTCTACTGTAATACTGAAATATACATATCAGTAAACAAGAATAATTTTCTCTAATGTTCACCAGGTTTTTCCTACTTCTCTACATGATATGCATATGCCCTGTCCATTGCTCAAATCTGCTATCCTATAGGCCAAGTTCAATAAGGAAGAAATACAACTTCTCAAACAAAGGGATTCTTAAATTTATATATGAGAACAAAATTCTATAAATATGTATCACTTCTCAATGCAGACTTGTTCTGAGAAGTGTGTAATGGAGCAATTTTCTCACTGTGTGAGCATAATAGTGTGTACATAAAATAAATGTAGACCCAGTCTACATTCTGAACTTATTGGACCACCCTGTTATATATAGTTTGTTGGTTGAAAAAGTAATCTCATGTTGTTCATGAATGTATTTAAGCCAATTTTAATGACAGTAAATAGTATTAGAATTTATTGAGGAAAAAAACATTATTTATTTAACTAGATGATGTTGGGGAAACTTTAAGCAGGGTCCAATGCACACTGCATACAATGATAAATTCTGGATGGATTAAAGCCCTAATTGTGAAAGATAAAGCTAAGATGTTAATAAAAAAATTGTAGAATAATATTCCTGTGGTATTTATGAGAAATCACACTTTAAAAAAACTAAAAACTACCAATACAAAAAGTAAAATTGGAGAACATCTCTTAAACAAATATATTAGTTAATATATATTAGTCAATTGGACAAATATATTAGTCAATTGGAGTGATGGAAATATGATCCTGACATTTAAACTTATATAAAATTTTAACATAATATGTAAAGAGATAAAATTGGGAAAAATAAATTATAATTTTCTGCATATGTGTAATTTCAAATTATCAAAACATTCAGATTCAGTTATACTTCCCTCTCTTATTTTGCTCTCATTTTGAAATCTTATTCTTTTCACTAGGGTTTATGTATCACACATTGGGAAGACTATGTCTTACTTTGTGTCTTGGCACTGTCTCCCAATCAGTCTCTCTGTCTGGGGGATAATACACCCCTTTTATTGTGATCACAAACTTTTGGTTGAGTGATAGGCAGTTTCACCAAGACTATAAGGAGTTGGGGAGAAACATGTTTTTATTGTCCCCAAAGAAAAATATCTTCCAGGAAGAGAATTGCAATAAACATCTTTAGGCACATAAAAGTAAATGCCCAAGGGATGTTGTATGTGGGCAGGGAATAAATAACATTTGAACAATTATGCAATTTATTTCTTGCATGACCCAGTAGTGCCCCATATTATTTGCACTCTGACCTATAACTGATTTTTCAAGACACTGGACTGTAACAATTTCTAAAACTAAGCAAAACAAACTTATGGTTCAAAACAACAGAGATTTCCCAATTCTCCCATCTTTTCCATCTTTTGTTTTTGGTTGCTTCAATTCAAATTTAGCATTGGCCATGGAAAAATGAAGACAGACTCTTGAAAATTCTTGAGGTCCTATTGCACTTTGACATGTGCCACATAGTGACTACAGAGAATTAGCCCTGTCAGCATATTGACGGACTTCCTTGCTTACTAGCTTAAAGAATCTCCAGTAATCAAGTGGTAGTCAAAGCCTTGGGTTTAATGGAACCCTTATTTTGTCTATCTTCTTATGGAGGAACCAGAAATTCCAGTTCAATGGAACCTAAAATTGTGGACTAGGAAATAGAAGCACAAATTTCTAGGTAGATTACTAAGAATGATGGTAAGAGAAGTCTCTTCAAGTTCTTCCCCTTGATTTTGTCAGTGTGCTCTAATAATCAAAGGGAAAGCATCATCATTATTATTATTATTTTACTCCCAGTTCCACCTGGCAAGATTACTAAAATGGTACTTAAGAGTGCATTTATGGCCTTCATTTTTCTTTTTTTTTCCAGGCTGGATAAAACTGTGTGCTGTAGTATATGGTAGAGATATGTCCTACCTCCTTTTCTTTAAGTGTGTGTGAAACATGTTATGTGAGATCCCATGAATACAGTTCAAATTTTATGTGAGAACTCAGGCCAGGATACCAATGAAAGTCCAAGGCATTCATTCCCATGTATTTGCATTTCCAATAAAGACAAACCATTGGGATGAATTCCACCTCCCAATGTGAAAATAGTAAAAATAATTAGCTTACC